GTTTCGTGTGACGGGGATTCGAACCCGCGACCCTCAGATTGCGAGTCGAGCGCCCTAATCACCTGGCCATGCCTAAATGCAAAGGAAATTCTTGAAGAAACGCAAAACGGTCAAAAACAAACATAGGATCAAACAAATAGATTTCGGAGTTTTAAGACAACTCAACACGAATGCCAATTAATTTCACGTTATGTAAATGATTTGGAGGACGACTGGATAAACAATGAATTGAATGAGATGTAGTGAAAAAATTAAAAATATTTTGAAGGAAGTGTTCAGGTGGTATAGTATTAATTGTAGATCTTCCAGAAGAAGAAAAAGAAAAGCAGAATATAATGAAACCATTAGAAAAATATTTAGAAAGAAACAGGAAAACGCCTAATTTGAATAACTTAAATACGATGGTTTTAATCAGGCACAATAGCACTACAGATATCATCAAAACGTGTTTAATGAACGTTTAGAAATCTTTGCATTCCACTTTCCTTTCATAATTATTTTTTTTCTGTAACGAGCCAGATTGAATTCGACAAATGTTCAAATCGGTTTACTACAGAAGTAAACAAAATTACATAAGCTGGAATGAAAACATTCCGGAACGTTCAATAAATAGGTTTTTCACAATTTCTGTTGCAGTATTGTTCCTGATTAAATTAAGATTCTCCCTGCATGAATGTTTTAAGAATGGATGAAAATAAGCTGCAAATAGAAACTAAAAAATTCAAGCAGTAAATAAGTACAAATAGCTGGAATATTGATAAATATCTAAATATTGCATAGCCACCAGAAATACTGAACTAACAACATAATTAATACACGAGAACACCTTAAAAACAGATAGAAACGAAGTCACAAATGCTATAAATGAGTCTTGAAATGCTGTAAAGAGAAGTGAGATGAAAGACATGGAAACAAGGTTATAAATATTTGAAAACTTGGTTAAGTCATCCACTGACTATTGAGTTGAAATATGGCGTTGGAAAAGAGCGGAAAGAACTGAAAAGAATCAGGCTACACATATAAAGTGGACTGTTGAATCAGACAGAAATGCACCTTCTTACTTATGGCTAATGGAGTTTGGAAGTTTGGATATGGCAGTCAATAACATGAAAAGTTACATCACGATATAAAATATGTATTAAAGATGAAGAAAGAGAGACGGTAAACAAATGGCTTAAGTAAATAGGAAAATGAATCTTAAATAAGAAGAAAAGTAGACGTGGAAAAGAAATGAAAAACGCGTTTTATGAAATGGGAATTCCCGAAGTATAGGTAATGATAACAGAAGGAGCAGGAACTGGAAAAATATAGGAAGCACTTATGAAAAGAAAATAACAAAATATAGAAAAAATAGAGTAGCATAATTACTGTGATTATTATAAACACATTAAAGAAGACACAGCAGAATAGAAATATGCCAACATTAAAGAAAGATGAAAAAAATAAAGGTGATGACAAAATGAAGATGCGATAATCTGACAAGAGAAAAGAAGAAATAGATTAAATATAGAGACAAGAAGTATATGAATATTGGGAAGAAGAAAAAAGTATGGATATAATTGGATCTGAAGGATGTTGAAAGGAGATATTAGAATAGAAGATCCAATTAAATATATTATAACAATTTTGATAGAAAATAACATGAATTGCTATATTGCTTGTAAACATTTTATAAAATATATAGTATTATTAAAAAAGAGCTCTCTTTATACACTACGCTAAAATGGCATTTCCGTTATTAATTCAACAGTGTTCGTATTGATGTGAAATAATAAGTACTAAAATAAATTATACAAACAGTTACCTTGAAAATCACCAAATTGTTGAATTGATATTTCTGCAAAACGAGAGTTCTTTTACTTCACCCCTTTGTTATTATCAAATAATTTGTGCTGGTAATTCATGTAGAATTAACATTAACATGACAAATATTATGGCGCTTCATGTATTCAATAATTTGTAATGAGTAGACACTTTTTGGTCTTTAATTATTGACAGTATTTTTATCTATTTATAACCAAGTTGCATTAAGAAGACATATAATACTGAGTATGCTCTGATATATGTTTATCTGCATATGAACTTTATCCTATACTTATAAACATAAAAAATTACTCCAAATAGCCACAACTGTTGACTCACCTCTCCATTACAAAAGCAGTACAATAACGCAACGAAAAATCCCTGTAAAAAATGATAAATCTGTTAGTGACAATTAACAAGAACATTTACAAGTTTGTTTGTTTGTTTGGTTTGAATTTCGCGCAAAGTTACACGAGGG